GAGAAAAAACAATCATTCCATTAAAAAAAAAAATGGATTTATTAGCTATGTGAAGAAACAGCAATTGCACTGGGCCGTGTCCGCATGGTATGTAATGTTCTCCAGCTGGGTTAATTACAGTGTTCTAAATTATTAGCGATCGTAAATTCTAAGAATCCGTACAAAAAGACAAGACTATGATCCAGGCTTTGGAAAAATATTCATGGGAAAACTATTAGAAGGAAAAGCAAATTAAGCTGCCTCCTCCTTTCATAAAAAACTATTCTCTAACAGCCAGCACTGGAACGTGGTCTCAAGTCCTTGGCTGAAACTAGGCATAGGAATCTGACTGGGGCCCAAGTTGGGGGTCAAACGCTACCTAGCTATTAATTCAGTGTCGTAGAGCAGAAGAATACGGGGGACTCTTTCCTAACATGCACGCAAGTGTAGCAGATAAAAGAGGGAATACCAAGACTCTAAAATGAACTTTAGAGACAAACACTGTACATAGTCAAATAACAGCATACAAAGTAATGGAAAGACTGAAATAGCTTAAGCTGAGAAAAAAAAAAAGTTTGTTATATTTGAGAAATAAATATTCATAGTCCCCTAGCTACTAAAATTTTGAGTAGAATTCCTGACGAGACAATGTGTCTTTAGTAAATATGAAAGTGATGCTACAGGATCTTGGTCAAAAATTGCACTGAAATTGAAATTTTAACGGGAGGATTTTTAAAGATGCATCTTCTCTCTCTACAGCAAGGGTTCATGCACTCTGTGATGTGACTGGCCAGAGATGCGGATACAATCTGAGCCCACACAGACCGGGTGGAAGCTAATGGGACTTTGTGGCAAATGAACTCACGACCCAGACCTCATTAGTCATGATCTAACCAACTGAGTCTGTGAGCCATAGAAAATTCATGTTGACACGAGGTATTTACTTGGAATCATTTCTGTATCTAAATGGGCTTTGTAGTTTTAGGAAGTCAACTTTAGACATGTTGTTTTTCCAAGGGTCTGTGAATGAATGAATTCACCGATCTCGCATCTACCTACGGTGTGGATGACCCTAACGGCAGTGGTGGGGTAGTTTTAAAAATGTACAAGGCAAGAGGCAGAATTCAGGGTCAAAAACACGAGTGGAAAACATAAAAAGAATAACCACAGTGCTTAATGTTACAGCAATAACTGAAGTTTACTGTTTCCTATTTATAACAATGCGACACGAAGCGCTTTTGAAAAAAGAACTCTCTGCATTTCATAGATGAAAACAGTGAGGCGGGTTGTGTAACTTTCACGAAGCCACATACCAGTAATCTCTCCGCCTTACCTTGGACCAGTGATGAAAAACTGTGTCAGACACCGTCTCAATACCCATTCCAATTGCCCCTTTTCCCCTGCTGCCTTCTGCCATACACACGGAAGCTACAGGCCAGTCTTCCCAGACTCCCTTGCAGCTAACCACCACTTTGTGACACGATTAAGATATAAGGCAAGGGACAGAAGCAAAAGAGAGCTGGACGTTTCTGGGAAAGCCTCCATGTGCTTGTGCGTGACATATATACACATATAAAAATATAAACACACACACACACACACACACACACACACACACACACACACATCCTCTTTTTCCTGTCTGAAATGTAAATATGATGATCGCAACCGAAGCAGACATCTCACAGACATACCAGAAAATTGTGGCCCTGATATTCTGCTGTGGCCCTGATTGCTGCGAAACTGATGTCAGCAATAGACTAAAGGAAGCACAGTTCTGGATGTTTCTAGAGGATCATCTCCTGTGGTCTTTTGGTAGCTTACCTCTAGATTGGCTCAGCAGATCTGAGTTAATCATGTTGCAAGACGAGGCTGATGGCAGAGTGTTTCACAGGCGCCAATCCCCACTAAGAAAGCCATCTGTCCCTACTACATACTCACTATCCCTTCTCCCTGGAAATACCTCACTCTGCGAGGCCAGACATCTACCAGAGCAATTCCCATGGTGTAGCCGGGTCCAGTTATGCTCCCTCTGCTATCTGTCAGCTTGTAAGGTTTTCTCCAATAAGCCTTTGTATTTGCACCGTGTCGTGCTCATGATTTGCACAATATGCTACCTTTGGACTTCTTATGACCCGACGAAAATAAAAGCCCTGATATTTTCAGACTTCTATTTGTCGGATTTGCTGGGATTCTCCACTGACAGAATGCTGTAATATATGTATGATAAAATGCTCCGAAATAAGACAGTAGAGTGGTAACTTAGCCCTCCACTGCAGGGGAGGTGGTTTGTTAAGGCTTTGCCTAGGATGCCTTTACTCTGGGGCTCTCGTGACAGATAAACCACAGGCACGAATGAAATGACAATACAACTGAGTGACCTCCAGCAGTGTCTAGAAACCCCTAACATTTTCCCTGGTAGAATACAAGTCCAATAGACGCAGGTGTATCTATTTCTTTGGTGAAAATGCCAACAGTCCTGTGGGTGTAGGGTAGAGATTCTAAAAGCAGGCTCCATCCAGGAGGCCCTGGTCCCACACAACAAACAGGTAAGAAACAGCCAGTGTCTACAATATGTAAAGAGTTACAGATTCGCTGGACCAGAGAAATTCACAGACCCTTTATTAGGTGCCAATCACCTCAACAGATGCAGAGAAAACAACAAAATGACAACAGTTCCCATTCGGAAAGATTTCTTCCCGGCTCGGTGCCGGAAGTGAAAGTCGGGGTACAGTGTTGTCCATACCCTAAAGGGAGAGGACAAACCAACTGTAGTGGAGAGTGAGGGTCCGTGTCACAAGGCGGGGATGATGATGAATCAGTGGATAAAGATCACACGAGGCTCCGCGTTGGGGGACTGGATAGAAGGCAGAGAAAACCGCATGTCCAGAAACAGGCTAGTAAGGGTAGTATCTGGGGAAAGATGCACAAAGCTGGTTGTTCCCAGGACAGGTGGGACAGGAAGCTGGACACGAAGGAATGGGGTGAATGCCAAGGGGAGAGCTGAATTTTATTTCATAGGTAATGGAGGGGTTAAGGCAGCGGGAATGTGGCTACAAGCGATGAGAACAGAGAAATGAGTCAAGATCAGTGAAGAGCTTTCAGTTTTCTATTGGCTATTGTCTACCAGGCCTTGTGTTAGTTGCTGTAACTGTATTTCCTCAAATCCCCACGCCAAGTAGGGTGAGATTACCATCCTCCCACCTTCCAGGGAAGAAGAATAAAAAGTCATGACTTAGTCACGACTATAAAACTCGTACAGAGTTAAACTAGGGTTCTAAGTTGTTTTGTTACAATAGCAAGAGGTAACATTAACTGAACTCCCGCCACACGTCATGCACTCTTCTGGTGTTCGATTTATTGCGGTGGGAAAAAAAAAAGAAGAGAGGGACAAAAATCCCTGCCCTTGTGGAGGTTATAGGTTGATGTCCTGGGAACCCACAAAACCAGGAGGTGCAGCAAGAATAAAGAAAGCATAGGTTTTCAACTGGGGGCACACCAACATAGAAGGGAGGCGGGCAGAAGAGAATGAGAGAACTTGAATTCATTTCAGGGACATGCAGAGATTCAACAGATTCCAGATAAACACTCAAGTGGTAAATGAAAACAATACTGGTGACCTGTAATAGTTCTTAGTCTCTTTACCTATAACATCTTGAATCTTAATCCAAGTGGCTGAAAAACACAATTGGCTGGGGCGCCTGGGTGGCGCAGTCGGTTAAGCGTCCGACTTCAGCCAGGTCACGATCTCGCGGTCCGTGAGTTCGAGCCCCGCATCGGGCTCTGGGCTGATGGCTCAGAGCCTGGAGCCTGTTTCCGATTCTGTGTCTCCCTCTCTCTCTGCCCCTCCCCCGTTCATGCTCTGTCTCTCTCTGTCCCAAAAAATAAATAAACGTTGAAAAAAAAAAATTAAAAAAAAAAAAAAAAAGAAAAACACAATTGGTATAAATTTACAAATTTACATTATTGTTGCTGCAAAGGTGATGAGTTCGAGGGGGAGGAGGGGGCGGACAGGAAGGGGGCAAGGACAAGTTCAGACAGGAAAAACAGATTTGAGTATCAGGTATTCTTATGGAGTTTAATAAATGCCCCCAAAAAACTAAGGTCCTCGTTGTGTATTGGCTTACAGACAAAAACATACACAAATCCACCTTACTTATAAAAACAACAAGTATAGGTTTTACAAGGTAGTAAGAAGATACGGAAATCACCAACAAGGAGTATACAGTTTTGTCATCCTATTGAAAACCATTCAAAGGCCTAACACTTTTCATAATTTGAAATATTCCACTGAGATGAAGGGAGAAGGAAAATCAACAGACATTCTTAACAGACACAGACTAATCTCTAAACATCAGTCTAATCTCAATAACTCTGTTCTGGTAAAAAAAAAAAAAAAACTGTGAAAACAAGGGAACCATTTGGGAATAGTGGGATGTGTCAAAGAGTACCATTTCTCTCTAACCAAGCGGGAGAATTGAAAATACTCCCCCACACAAACTTACATTGCTCCATTGGTATAGACAGTATCGCTTCCTTCCACATACTGCACCTGGGCTGGGTACACATGTTGTACCTGCTGTACGGTCTGGACCTGCTGTACCTGGAAAACAAATATTAGGAGCACCGTAAGAAGCAGATACAACAGAACACACAGCCACGGCGTTAGATTTGCCTCAAGGATTTCTCTGGGGTGTTAAAACCTAGGAGCTTCAAGGTAAGTGCACGGTGGGTCCAAATCAACCGAAGCAATTATGTTGGATATGTTCTACACCATTTCTGCAGGTGTAGGTTGCGGACGTACATACTCCAAATATTTAGGGTGAAAAAATCTGGAAGCTCCTCACTTATTTTGATGATTTGTGAAGTTCTCTTCAGTCGGTCTGCTAAAGCTAAGTTCATTTTTCAATTTAAAAAATTCACGGGGGGCGCCTGGGTGGCGCAGTCGGTTAAGCGTCCGACTTCAGCCAGGTCACGATCTCGCGGTCCGTGAGTTCGAGCCCCGCATCAGGCTCTGGGCTGATGGCTCAGAGCCTGGAGCCTGTTTCCGATTCTGTGTCTCCCTCTCTCTCTGCCCCTCCCCCGTTCATGCTCTGTCTCTCTCTGTCCCAAAAATAAAGAAACGTTGAAAAAAAAAATTAAAAAAAAAAAAAAAAAAAAAAAAAAAAAAAAAAAAAAAATTCACGGGACACCTGGCTGGCTTAGTCAGCAGAGCACGCGACTCTTGATCTCGGGGTCATGGGTTGGAGCGCTGGGTTGGGCATAGAGACGACTTCCAAAAAATTAAAAGATAAAATGAAATAATTCACGACGGCAAATTTCATACACTCAAATGTAGAAAAAATACTACCATGAACCCCCTGGGCTCATCAAGATAAATAACTGCTACCAGCCCTCCCCTTTTAACCCCTTACAGGATTATTTAAAAGCAAGTGCAGAGATTTTTATCACTTCACTGGGAAAGATTTCATTTGGCCTCTGAGAGAGAAGGACTATTTTTAACATGAACACGATACTAGTATTACACATAAAACATTAACAATTCTAGGATATCATCTAAAATCCAGTCATTGTTAGATTCTAACTATTCCAACTTGAGCAAACCCAACTGTAATGTATAAACTGTATTTTGTATATTAGATATGTAACATAGAAATTCATTTTCATTTTAAAATTTCACTTGGGTTTGCTCAAGTCAGGATCCAAACAAGGTCTGCATATTATATTTGGCTTATATTTCCTATCGTTCTCCTCTAATCTCTAACAATCTCCCATCCTTTTTATCCTTGACTATTATTTATTGAAGAAACTGGATTATTTGTCTTGTAGAATTTCTAGAATTCAAGACTTGGCTGATAGCATCCCTGAGGTGTCATTTAATAAATTCCTCTATCTCCCGTATGACCTATAAACTGGTAGTTAGACTGAGGGCCTTGCACGGGTTCAATATTTGAAAAGCTGTGTACTACCTATCACGTCACATCAGGTGCTAACAACTGGCTGTCTCTCCTTCCGCAGTGTGACATATACTCGGTGGGGTCAGGTGTGGTCAGCTACATCCACTCATCCTCTTCATGTTTTACCTGACAATATTAGTAGCCACTGACGATCGTTTCCTAGGGCTAGTTTTGCAATTCATCAAGGCTGTAACTTTGGTAGTCTGATTCTATTATTCCTTCTTCATGTATTAGTAGGCTTCCATAAATAGCCCCTCATTAATAGCTTTGGGGTGAAGTAGGCCTGTGTAGTTAAGTAGCATCCGACTTCAGCCAGGTCACGATCTCACGTGTCCGTGAGTTTGAGCCCCGTCTGCCTCTGGGCTGATGGCTCGGAGCCTGGAGCCTGTTTCCATTCTGTGTCTCCCTCTCTGCCTCCCTCCCTGCTCATGCTCTGTTTCTCTCTGTCCCACAAATAAACAAATGTTGAAAAAAAAAATTTAAAAAAAAAAATAAAAAAAAAAAAGAAATTCCCCTCATTAATTATCTGGTTGCTTTGAAAGAAGGTTCGTATAGGAAGAAGATAAATACTCGATTCTTCTTCTTAGCAGTACTCAGAATAAGGATTTATCGCTCCCTTCCAAGGTAAGCAATGTGGTTTGGGGGCGGTTTGGTCTGTATCTTCATGATTCTTGGCTGTTAAGCATATCTGATGTTTTTCAATCACACCAGGGTTTTGGTGTGGGGGGAGGGGGAGCGATAAATTGTCCCTTCTCTTGACCCATGGTAGTCCCTTCAAACCAGATTCTGGATCTCGTGACATGATCACAGTAATCTTTCTTACCTCCCTTGCTTTCTGCTGTGATAAGATATTCTACGCTTATCTCTTACATTTTCTGTCCTAGATCTAGAAGCAACCATCTCTTCCAACAGCCTGGCTCCTAGTAGTTAGGAGTAATGTAAATACATAAAAACTGCTTAGGAAGGCAATTTACAAACAGACAAACCATTTGCAAACTCTGTGATTTCGTCTATTTCTATGTCTATTTACCCACGGAAAAGTTGCTGGACAGTATTATTAAAAGATACTGTTTATAAGAGCAAAAAGTTAGAAGGGAAAACCTCAATGTCTGAAAAGCAGAGTGATTAATTAGAAGAAAACCCTTCTGTAGATTATATGGCTAATGTTAAAAAACAAAACTGGATTCAAATTGATATGTAAGAGCTCTAACATGTTATCATGTAAAAAAAAGTACGTTGCAAAACAAAGCTTGCAGAATTTCTTTATGTTTAAAAATACGCATGTATCTAATTTGTGTGGACATGCATATATAAATGTATACAAGTATATAAAGGAAAACAGCAAGGATTCACATCAAACTCCCAAAAATGGTTACTCTGTTGAGTGACATAAAATGAGACGGGAGAGGTGAGGTAACTAGCGTCTTTTATTCTGCATATTTATATTACTCTTGGAAATTGTAAAATGAAAATGAATTCCTATGTTTCATACATAATATATAAAATACATCAATCAATATGTGGAAGAAGGACTTCCAATTCTGGCTATGATGAAATCAATACTATTAGAAATGCCCTCCCCACACCAAACAAGAAGGAAGCTGGACACCATATGTAAAACAACGTTTTCAGTCATTTGAGAAAAGACATCATAACAGAGTGATCCTTCAAAAGTAGAGAAACAAACAAGGTCACCCTTTAACGATCCCAGCTTTTGAAATGGAGGCATTTCCCAGACCGCTGAGCGGGAAGAGAGGAACCAAGTAGAGCACTGTGATCTCACTAAGGGGAGGAGACAGCTATCAGAACTGGGGAGGCTGGGGCAGCTGGAATTTGGGAGCACCAGCAGAGAGCACATTAAGCGGAGAAAGAGATCCAGAAATACTGAAAGAGATCGCCTCAATCTGATGCTGAATATGAAACTGCACACGTGTAGGGCACAGAGATATTCAGGTTCTAACCAGACAGAGTGAGGTGACCTTATTGAACATCCAGGGCATTCTGTAGAAACACCAAAAGAGCAAAGCCCTAGTAGTCGGGCTTAACTAGCTCTAGAGTAAGACTACTTCAGGGCCATCTTAATAAAACCGAGAAATAAGCCTTGAAAAGATCCAGGTGATTCACTTAACTGCCTATACAAAACAAAGTATAAAGCTTTAAAAGGAAGACAGCAAAATCCAGACATACAAAACTGTAAGAATCAAAATGTCTAGTACCCAATAAAAAATGACTAGACATGGGAAGGAGCAGGAAAATGTGACCTACCAATAGGAGAGAAAAAAAAAAAAATCAATCAATAGAAACAGATATAGAGGGGCGCCTGGATGGCTCAGTCGGTGAAGCGGCCGACTTCGGCTCAGGTCACGATCTCACGGTCCGTGAGTTTGAGCCCCGCATCGGGCGCTGTGCTGACAGCTCAGGGCCTGGAGCCTGCTTCGGTTTCTACGTCTCCCTCTCTCTGTGACCCTCCCCCGTTCATGCTCTGTCTCTGTCTCAAAAAATAAATAAACATTAAAAATTTTTTTTTAAAAAAGAAAGAAACAGATATAGAAATGAAAGAGAGGAAGGGGCAGAGACTTTAAGATAGTTATAAATACAAAAGATTTAAAGGAAAGCACAAATATGATGAGAAAAAAAGAAAGAAGCTATGCGGAACCAAGTAGAATACTGAAAAGTACAAGTTGAAAGACATAATATCTGAAGAGAAAAATTCACTCACTGGGTTTAAGAGCAGACTATATAATGCAGAGGCAAAGACCAATTTGAAAATCTAGCAATAAAAACTATCTTCCATGAAGAAGAGAGACAAAAAAAAGAAATGAGGAACAGAGAATCAGTGAACAACGGGACAACATGAAATGGTCAAACATAATGCAATTGGAGTCACAGAAGAAGAACAGAAAACGTAAGTTGAAGAAAGAGCAGCAGAAACTTTTCCATATTTGATTCAAACTGTAAACACGCAGATCTAAGCTCACTATACACAAATATATGGACAAAGAAAACCACATCAAAGTATATCACCACTAAAAGTGTTACAAATAGGGGCGCCTGGGTGGCTCGGTCAATTGAGCGTCCAACTCTGGTTCGGGTGATGACCTCGCGGTTCGTGGGTTCAAGCCCCGCGTCAGGCTCTGTGCTGACAGCTCGGAGCCTGGAACCTGCTTTGGATTCTGTGTCTCCCTCTCTTTCTCTCTCTCTGTCCCCCTCCCCTGCTTGCACTCTGCTCTCTCTCTCTCTCTCTCTCAAGTAAATAATCATTAAAAAAAATACTTTGAATAAATAAATAATAAAAGTGCTAGAAATCAATTGTAAGGAGAAAAATTTTTAAGCAGGCAGGAAAAGGACACATTGTAAACAGGACATCACATATGAGAAGGAGTGGAAGATCCCCAGTTAGAAATAACACACGCACAAGCCAAATGACATCTTTAAAGGCGTGAGGAGAAAAAATCTCAACCTAGACTTCCATAGCCAGGGAGGTGTCCCACCAAAATGAAGCAGAAATCTTTTTTCAGGCAAAAGCTGAGCAAATTCCTCTCCAGCAGACCGACCTCCGGTGGAGCTAATGACAAAGGAAGTTTTTAGAGCTGAAGAAAAATAAAACAGATGGAAACTGGGGTCTATACAAAGGAAATGAGGGTCA